CAACAATTCAATGTCTTCCCTAAGGTAAAAAGCCCAAGAGTGGACACAATACACCAAATGTGGCATAACCAATCACCTACACAATGAAATTATAAACTCTTTAGACTTGTATTCAACATTTCTGTAGGTACCACTAGCAACAGCACATTACTTGGATGGCTTTAGAGACTGATTGCCTATTACACCAATATTTCTTTCCTTTATAACACTGTTAAGGTTATTCCAATCCAAATTATACTTATAATTCAAATTATGATAACCCACATGCATTATCTTGCATTTATTAGAATTAAAACCCATTTGCCATTTATTTGCCCAACTCACTAAATTATCTAAATACTTTTGTAAATCAGCAGCATCCTCTTCACAGCTAACAACACCCAACACCTTAATATCATCTGAAAATTTAAGTAATTTTGACTATTCCTTCATCTATGTCATTGATCTAAATCAAAAAGAGCAAAAGTTCTACGACTGAGCACTGAGGTACCCCACTTGTGACATTAATCCAGTTTGACTGAACTCAAAACAATAACAATCGTTCAAATACCCATCACAAGTCATTTATTCAACTTTTAATACACTTACAATGAGCACCAATGTGTTTAACAACGTTTTGTTACTCTTGTATGTCTACTTAAGAGCATGAAGATTAGTTTGGTATGCAATTAAGTTAAGACTTTTTTAAGGCTCCATTGGGAACCCTGAGATGCAATAATTTGTTTGTGTGTTTGTTTTAGCACAAAGCTACACAATAGGCTATCTGCTCTTTGTCTACAATGGGGAATTGAGCTCTGGAATTTATGTGATAAGTCCATAAACATACCTCTGACCCAATGGGGGGAAAAAACGTAACAGGGCCTTCATAACAGAAACACAGAACAGGAACAATTTTATAGGAAAAATTAAATATATAAGAAACAAACATTACTTTATTATAAAGTACAGAACATACAAAACTAATACTTTCAAGCTTACACAAAATAAGTACCTTTATTTTACAAACAATACCGTTAAAAAAATTCCAAACACTAGATAGATGAAAAACAATAATAGTTACTCATTCACAATTTTTCAGACAGCAAATTCTCACTTATGCACTGGAAAGACCTCAGCAGTACTTCCTTATTGAATAAAAGATTGCAGGTTTTCTTGGGTAAAGAAATGATTACTAATTAATTTTCCAAATATTTAAAAAACAAATTGTTATAATAAAGTAGCAGTGCTAGTTTAAAAAAAAAAAAGTTTTCTTTAAACAAAATAAATACCACGTTTCCAGAGAAAACATAAAATTATCTAATTCACTGATAAGAAACAGCTCTAATTTGGCAACGAAGTTCTTGCATGTTTGAAAAACTTTTATTTTGGGAAACTCAAACAATTAAATTTTTCTTCTCACACATAAAAATTTCCTTTGCTCTAGTTTAATTTTAAGCCAAATTGATCTTATGATATCTCTTTGATACAAAAAACCACAACAGCTATTTTATTACAACTCAGACACACATAAAGTTATACAATTTCATTTTAACACTTTTTTCACAGTTACATTCAACTGTCACTTTCTGCTACTAAGACAGAACAAACTGAAACAAGTTATGCATTTTAAGTTATGTACCAATATTTTAAATATTAGATTTACACTGTCAGCACTTGGAAATAAAGCCCATATCTTCATGCTTCACTCAGATGTTTAATAAGTTAATGTGAAAGTTAATAAGTATAGATGATCTAATACAGTTTTATAATTCAAAAAGATTAACTGACTTTGCCAATTAATAAAAGTTTTATATTTATTATTTCACAAAAGACAATGCATATGACATCAAACAAAAAAGTCTTGAATAGTAGTCTAAGTCTAGACTTGTTGAAAAACCAACTGAACATACTAGCAAAATTTCTCATCCTTCCTACCCAAGACACAAATGTTTTCCTTTGGTGCTGAAATGGTTTCCTCAAGAGGTCAAATATTCAACAAAATATTATAGTTTCAACTCATTTTTATATTTTGGGTACACTAGTGAAAGGCAAATTCAAAAACTATTATCTCACGTCAAAATATGCTGAGCCGTTGTTTTGCACAGGTCAAAAACAAGAATTTCACGTTTAATTTCGAAAAAAAAAAATTACTTAATTACAACAATGACAAAATGTAACGAAGGGACAAAACTTATGCTTACAGGTTATTTAACGGTAAGTTGCTTTCGTTATAAAATATATGTAACTGTTTCCGACTCCTGAGGTAGTAGTTTTTTAATTATGCCAGACAATGTTACGAAATATGTTAAACTCTTCTGTTAAAACAATTTATCTATCAACAAATTACTATTACCTCTTTATTACTATAAAGTTTTCCTCAACATCAAAACTGTACTATAGCTACAGCATTTACTTAACTGTAAGATAGTGTGGAATGAGTTAAGTAAAATATTTTAAAATTTGCTCAAGAACAAAGGAAACTAAAGTCAAACATCTATTTGATATCGGTATCATAAACCTTTTTTCTCTAAATAAGTAGCAATGTTACAACCATGTTAAAAACATTGTCTTAATTTTTTATTTTTACAATGGTGAATTTTGTTATATATATATATTTATGATAAAGAAAACATTTCAATGGATCAAACTTGAAATTTTTTTTCCTTTATTTACAAACATATCCAGTATGAAAGTAGAAAATCAAATACATACACACAAATTTAATCACAAGGATAAAAACATCCCTACAGCCAAACCAGTTCTATCTTCTTCTGTAAGAGCTTGAATGATGGGGTGAATTCTTGAACGAAGGAGGAGAACCAGAAGAATTATCAACACTCCAAAGTTGTGGCTGAGGTCCTGTTACATCTCGAGAGCCCTGAGAAGATGGCTGCCTCCAAGGCGAATACGGCAGAGCTGAAAGATAAGGTGAGACTTTCAAATGCCTACTTTATCAAAAACCACTTAATTTTCAAATTACTAACTTGTTTATATACTGTTCTTTACATCTGGATTAAAAATATTGCATCATATTAAATTTTTGATTGTTACAACATTCAGTGTAAAAAACGGATTAAAAAAAAATTGGTGAAATAGTCCATTTTGTATATAAAATACCTAACAAACCACAGCAGTAATTCGTGGGATTAACTGCTATAGTGACATTACTTTTATTTAATGTTTTGGATGATATGCATTATTAGATGATATTTATGCATTATTATGTCACCAGTTATGGACCAACAAGCAGTTTAGTAAAATCGTGTATAAACCACATCGATTAAACGGTTAATGGCTGAAATATTACCCTCAAATGTATCTCAGTACAACATAAGTAAGTTTTATATTTTATGTACGTTTACTTTGTCACAAAGACTTGAGAAATGAACCATTGCTTATATAGTGAGTACTTAGGTTACTTGAAATAATTTTAAGCATGAAAGTAATTTAGCCTGAAGTACAGTAGAAACTATATAGTTAGTTCTATGCAGTCTATATTTACACTATACAGGTAAACAATTCAAAATGATGACTTTGTTTTCCCAATACAACTATATTGTGACACCTACACAAAATGCAAGTTTGGGCTTTTGTTATGCAAATTATGTGCAGTTACAAATACTTTATTTTATTTGAATATATACAATTACATGTTCTAATTTAATCATAACTAACGTTTGCTTAAGTAAAACACAACAAAATGAAAACATGAGAAGCATATACAATCATTTTTGTACCTTGTGCAAGAAAAAGAAAGCCCCCATAATATATTGAAACAATGATTCATCTTATATTAAAGAGCCTTCCTATTAATAAGATACAATTTTCAACACCTTAACTAAATGGAAGAATGTGAATAAGATGCATGCTAACCCTATGTCTTAAACTATTCACTGTTCATAGTGATACTTAAAGCATTCTCTGAGAAATACATTCCACACGGAATGTCAACTAATGGTTATGGAAAAGAAGCACTCAGATTTGTTTTATAAATTCTTAAAGGTGTGTTGATGTATATATATATAATCTACAAACTATAAGGCTTCTTCTCTGTTACTGTATTTCATAGGTGTATTAGTTCTTTTGTTGTTGATGTATATATATATAATCTACAAACTATAAGGCTTCTTCTCTGTTACTGTATTTCATAGGTGTATTAGTTCTTTTGTTGTTGTTTTTTCTTTTTTTTAGGGGGGGGGAGCAGGATGTGTAAGAGTAGTTGAATATATTTGTCAGTTGTTCATTGTGTGTAATATGTTTCACTGAACAGTATCAACACAACATAAGAAAACTGTCATGTCATTAATATAATGGTGTTAGTATTTTTGCCT